ACGAGGATTTTTTAATAAAATATTTTAATTTTTTTAATAAAATATTTTAGAGGCATTCTCAAGACTATACCGTGGTTTTTTTAATAAAATATTTTAGAGGTATTTTCAAGGCTATAACGTGGATTTTTTAATAAAATATTTTAGAGGTATTTTCAAGGCTATAACGTGGATTTTTTAATAAAATATTCTAGAGGTATTCTCAAGGCTATAACTTGGATTTTTTAATAAAATATTTTAGAGGTATTTTCAAGGCTAAAACGTGGATTTTTTAATAAAATATTTTAGAGGTATTTTCAAGGCTATAACGTGGATTTTTTATTAAAATATTTTAGAGGCATTCTCAAGACTATAACGTAGATTTTTTAAAAAAAAATATTTTAGAGGTATTTTCAAGGCTATAACGTGGATTTTTTAATAAAATATTTTAGAGGTATTTTCAAGGCTATAACGTGGATTTTTTAATAAAATATTTTAGAGGTATTTTCAAGGCTATAACGTGAATTTTTTAATAAAATATTTTAGAGGCATTCTCAAGACTATAACGTGGATTTTTTAATAAAATATTTTAGAGGCATCCTCAAGACTATAACGTGGATTTTTTAATAAAATATTTTAGAGGCATTCTCAAGACTATAACGTGGATTTTTTAATAAAATATTTTAGAGGCATTCTCAAGACTATAACGTGGATTTTTTAATAAAATATTTTAGAGGCATTCTCAAGACTATAACGTGGATTTTTTTAATAAAATATTTTAGAGGTATTTTAAAGGCTATAACGTGGATTTTTTAATAAAATATTTTAGAGGTATTTTCAAGGCTATAACGTGGATTTTTTTAATAAAATATTTTAGAGGTATTTTCAAGGCTATAACGTGGATTTTTTAATAAAATATTTTAGAGGTATTTTCAAGGCTATAACGTGGATTTTTTAATAAAATATTTTAGAGGTATTTTCAAGGCTATAACGTGGATTTTTTAATAAAATATTTTAGAGGTATTTTCAAGGCTATAACGTGGATTTTTTAATAAAATATTTTAGAGGTATTTTCAACGCTATAAGTTAAGATTTTAGATATAACTTTAAATGCAAATTTGTTAAATTCTCCTCCAACTCGATTTTCAGTTCCTTAATAGATTTTTGGATTTTTAGATATAACTTTAAATGCAAATATGCTAAATTCTCCAACTCGTTTTTAGTTTCCATAGAAAATTCTTTTTCTGTTATTCTTCTTTCCGATTTTGCAACATTCCATCTTCACAGGAGCAATAAAATCCAATTTATGGTCATGCTTAATATTCCGCTGGCATTCTGTAAGAAGAATAGAACAATACTTAAACTGGCAACATAATTCATATTATGGTCTACATTTTCTACTTACCCATTGGAGGCCTCTTAGAATTCATGAGGAGCAGTAGTAAGAATAAATGGAGGTCTAGATGATAGGTGGTCATTTGAATTGTTTCTAAATTAAATGGCCCACAAGAAATGGTTTCATTGTTCTCCAACTGGCCAATAGCTTGAGGAAGTTATTAATTTCGTAAAGAGGTGTTAAAAACCCGTCCAAAAAAATATTTTTCTCTCGATGCTCTAGACGAATGAGGACCAACATTAGACCCGAGTCTAGAAGAGGAAGTTTAGGAAAAAAATAAAAAATTATTTTTACTTTTTTGTTCTTCCAACATGTTGGATTGCAACTTGGCTGATCATTTGGCTCGATTGTTGGCCCGGCTTGAATGAATACATTGAACACGTTTTGTTTTCTGGTAGTAATAACCGCCGCAATGCATATTTTTGCCCATTCTTTTTATGTTCATTTATTTTTACAATGTGATTTTTGCATTTCGATAAGAATATTTAATTTTATTTTTTATGCTGGTTTGTGTGTCAGGTTTTTGTTGCCAGCCACAATTCAATTCACTTGGCATTTCAGCAGACACCAATTCGTTTTGCCACGTTAACTTAATTTGGGTCATTTTTACGTTCTATGATTGGCGGAATATTAAAACACAGTTATATGGCACTTGGTGTGGAACAAAATCGCAAGTGAAATTGGCGACGGAGTCGAGGTTTAAAAAAAAATTAGGAAAAAATAAATTAGGAATTTTATGAAAACGTATTTTTAAATAAAATTTTTACAAGGACTTGAAGGCCTTCAAACGTGGATTTTTAAATAAAATTTTTACAAGGTCCCAAAGGCCTTCAAACGTGGATTTTTAAAATAAAATATTTACAAGGTCCCAAAGGCCTTTAAACGTGGATTTTAAATAAAATTTTTACAAGGTCCCAAAGGCCTTCAAACGTGGATTTTTAAATAAATTTTTTACAAGGTCCCAAAGGCCTTTAAACGTGGATTTTTAAATAAAATTTTTACAAGGTCCCAAAGGCCTTTAAACGTGGATTATTAAATAAAATTTTTACAAGGTCCCAAAGGCCTTTAAACGTGGATTTTTAAATAAAATTTTTACAAGGCCCCAAAGGCCTTTAAACGTGGATTTTTAAATAAAATTTTTACAAGGTCCCAAAGGCCTTTAAACGTGGATTTTTAAATAAAATTTTTACAAGGTCCCAAAGGCCTTCAAACGTGGATTTTTAAATAAAATTTTTACAAGGTCCCAAAGGCCTTTAAACGTGGATTTTTTAATAAAATTTTTACAAGGTCCCAAAGGCCTTCAAACGTGGATTTTTTAATAAAATTTTTACAAGGTCCCAAAGGCCTTCAAACGTGGATTTTTTAATAAAATTTTTACAAGGTCCCAAAGGCCTTCAAACGTGGATTTTTTAATAAATTTTTTACAAGGTCCCAAAGGCCTTCAAACGTGGATTTTTTAATAAAGTTTTTACAAGGTCCCAAAGGCCTTCAAACGTGGATTTTTTAATAAAATTTTTACAAGGTCCCAAAGGCCTTCAAACGTGGATTTTTTAATAAAATTTTTACAAGGTCCCAAAGGCCTTCAAACGTGGATTTTTAAATAAAATTTTTACAAGGTCCCAAAGGCCTTCAAACGTGGATTTTTAAATAAAATTTTTACAAGGTCCCAAAGGCCTTCAAACGTGGATTTTTAAATAAAATTTTTACAAGGTCCCAAAGGCCTTCAAACGTGGATTTTTAAATAAAATTTTTACAAGGTCCCAAAGGCCTTCAAACGTGGATTTTTAAATAAAATTTTTACAAGGTCCCAAAGGCCTTCAAACGTGGATTTTTAAATAAAATTTTTACAAGGTCCCAAAGGCCTTCAAATGTGGATTTTTAAATAAAATTTTTACAAGGTCCCAAAGGCCTTCAAACGTGGATTTTTAAATAAAATTTTTACAAGGTCCCAAAGGCCTTCAAACGTGGATTTTTAAATAAAATTTTTACAAGGTCCCAAAGGCCTTCAAACGTGGATTTTTAAATAAAATTTTTACAAGGTCCCAAAGGCCTTCAAACGTGGATTTTTAAATAACATTTTTACAAGGTCCCAAAGGCCTTCAAACGTGGATTTTTAAATAAAATTTTTACAAGGTCCCAAAGGCCTTCAAACGTGGATTTTTATATAAAATTTTTACAAGGTCCCAAAGGCCTTCAAACGTGGATTTTTAAATAAAATTTTTACAAGGTCCCAAAGGCCTTCAAACGTGGATTTTTATATAAAATTTTTACAAGGTCCCAAAGGCCTTCAAACGTGGAATTTTATATAAAATTTTTACAAGGTCCCAAAGGCCTTCAAACGTGGATTTTTAAATAAAATTTTTACAAGGTCCCAAAGGCCTTCAAACGTGGATTTTTAAATAAAATTTTTACAAGGTCCCTTCGGCCTTCAAACGTGGATTTTTAAATAAAATTTTTACAAGGTCCCAAAGGCCTTCAAACGTGGATTTTTAAATAAAATTTTTACAAGGTCCCAAAGGCCTTCAAACGTGGATTTTTAAATAAAATTTTTACAAGGTCCCAAAGGCCTTCAAACGTGGTTTTTTAAATAAAATTTTTACAAGGTCCCAAAGGCCTTCAAACGTGGATTTTTAAATAAAATTTTTACAAGGTCCCAAAGGCCTTCAAACGTGGATTTTTAAATAAAATTTTTACAAGGTCCCAAAGGCCTTTAAACGTGGATTTTTAAATAAAATTTTTACAAAGGCCTTCAAACGTGGATTTTTGAATAAAATTTTTACAAGGTCCCAAAGGCCTTCAAACGTGGATTTTTAAATAAAATTTTTACAAGGTCCCTTCGGCCTTCAAACGTGGATTTTTAAATAAAATTTTTACAAGGTCACAAAGTCCTGCAAACGTGGATTTTTAAATAAAATTTTTACAAGGTCCCAAAGGCCTTCAAATGTGGATTTTTAAATAAAAATTTTACAAGGTCCCAAAGGCCTTCAAACGTGGATTTTTAAATAAAATTTTAACAATAACTTTCAGGCCTTCAAACGTGGATTTTTAAATAAAATTTTAACAAGAACTTTCAGGCCTTCAAACGTGGATTTTTAAATAAAATTTTAACAAGAACTTTCAGGCCTTCAAGTGTGGATTTTAAATAAAAAGTTTAACAAGGACTTTCAGGCCTTCAAACGTGGATTTTAAATAAAAAAATTTAACAAGGACTTTCAGGCCTTCAAACGTGGATTTTAAATAAAAAAATTTAACAAGGACTTTCAGGCCTTCAAACGTGGATTTTTAATAAAAAAATTTAACAAGGACTTTCAGCCCTTCAAACGTGGATTTTAAATAAAAAAATTTAACAAGGACTTTCAGGCCTTCAAACGTGGATTTTAAATAAAAAGTTTAACAAGGACTTTCAGGCCTTCAAACGTGGATTTTAAATAAAAAGTTTAACAAGGACTTTCAGGCCTTCAAACGTGGATTTTAAATAAAAAGTTTAACAAGGACTTTCAGGCCTTCAAACGTGGATTTTAAATAAAAAGTTTAACAAGGACTTTCAGGCCTTCAAACGTGTATTAAAAAAATATAACTTTAAATGCAAATATGTCAAATTTCAATATCAATTATGATACGATCTACCAGTCTTAGCATAATATGTGCTGCTCAATTTAATTTCAAGATATTAATGTCTTTTTAACAGAAATCCAATAAATACCAACCTTTTTTACGTCCTCACTCCCCATCCGTATTAATTCGACTGTCCATTATGAACATCCCCAATATCAATGGCGTTCTGAGTACCCTTACCACGAAAATCATTCAACAAACTGGGATCGATTAAATTCAAATTTGCGTAGACATATTGGAAATCAAATTGTGGTATCGTTTCGACAACATCCGATTTAATCGATCGCAAACCAATATGAGGCCTCAAGAAGCTATCGGCCAGTGGAAACCATTTTAGCAAAATTTCTGGATTTTCACCACGTTGGGTAGCCTCGAGTATCCGTTTCCTTTGCTGCATATATGTTATGCGAAATATTTTAATTTTCTTAGCCACATAAGCTGGCGTCAAGCCATGACCCATTGAGGCAGCTATATCTTCAATGGCAGCATTACGTAATGGCCTTGATCTATAATCCGGGTCATTTAAATCCCACAAACAACGATGGACACCATAGAGACGTAAAAATTTTACAGAATGTTTCAAAGACCATTTACCCTCCAAGAGGTCATCTTCCAGCACATTTTTACTACTCAATTTTTCCCTTTCTTCTTCCATTTCCAGGGGAAAAGATGAATTCGTATTTGATTCCATGGAAAAATCATCTCGGAACAATGAGGACATAAGCGCCTCATTCATATTTGACATTGGCGCCACAGAGGGTAGTGGATTTTCAAAACGTTTTTCATAGTCCTCATCATCCACTTCCCCATGGACTTCATTGTCTGTAGTATTCTTCAACAGGCTCTTCGTTTCATCTAGATAAATAGTTTCTGGCTTGATGTCCTCCGGAGTTTCCCACAGCATTTCCGTTTCCTTCCACCATTTATACGGAGGTTGATAAAGAGGATCATTCAGCATCTTTGCCCTTTCCTCCTCGACGGTCTGCCTCAAAATGTTCCAGCGTTTTTTAATACTCTCCGCTGGCCATTGCATTCTTTGGGCAATACTTTCCAAGGCAAAATCTCGGGATACTTGCCACATATCACTTGTATTGGTACAGAGTATGGGATATTCTTTTAAAAGTTTTATAAATTCCAATGAGGTCTCCAAAGTCCAAATTTTAGATTTATTTTTGTTAGAAATGGTTTCGTCCTTGTTAGAGGTTTCCAATTTCACTTCGTAATCTCCCGTTTTTTCTTCTTTTAAGTTTTTTAATTGTTGTTGTAAATCTTCTTCTAATTCCTCCATTTTTGGTTTCAAATCTTCATCTGATATCATATCTTGGCAGCTTTCTTCATTCCCCAGATCATTGGTGAGTTCAGTGTCTTCCGTAAAATGTTCCACTTTTGGTTGAAAGGCTACATCATTTTCGATCTCTTTCGTTGGCTTAGTTTGGCCCAGCAAAGGCCCCAATGTTTCGGGATTTATGGTAAAAACCACAGCATCCTCCAAGTCGGAATCGGAATTTCGTGACTCCTACAGGGGGAGAATGGAAAAGATATATTATCAATACTAAATTAAATTTCAATATTTCCCCACCTCTCCTTTGTGACCCTTTTTCGGGACATTCCTCAGAAATGCATCGGCCAAAGCAAACCATTTCAATTTGGTCCTGGATCCCATGCTCATTCTCATCCTCTGTTTTATGCGTTTCTTTTCATAGCGATACGTTGCCCGAATAATATTTATTTTCTGTACCACTTGCTCCTTCGTCAAGTCTCCACCCATGGCGGCTGCAATATCCACCAACGCTGCATGTCGCATTTTACGATTATGATTATCCTCATGCTGTACGTCCCAGAGACAACGATGGCCAGCATAGAAACGTAGCAGGCGTATTATTTCCGTCACTGGCCATTTATCGGTTTCGCTGTCATTGGCGGTTTCATGGCTTCTCCGGTCCGAAAGATGAGTATTTCCGGTAGACCCCATCTTATTGGCAACCTAAAAAATCATAGAGCTATTAAAAAACCTTCCCATCCTCTTAATATTTTATCTTACATAATTTTCAGTTCCTGATGTTATTGGATTACCACCTGCATTCTCATCCTGCTGTGCATCTTCCAAATTCCATAAACGAACATCGCCTTGATACGAATAAGAGACCATTGCTTGTCAGTAATCCACTGCGTTGTGACAGATTTCTTGTCATATCTTTTTGGGATTTTTTTTTGTTTTTTTTTTGCTCAGATAAGATTTAGTTCTGACAACAACAAAAAAAAATAAGATAAGAGCAGTAAGACAAACGGATCATGATTAAACAGTAATAAGTTTATTAAAGGAAGGTGTAGCACCCCAACGTTTTCCAGTTTCCCCAAAAGACATATTCGAGGCAATTATTAACAGAGTTTTTAGGTGGTATGGCCGGCCTCACATTTCATCAATTTAAACGACATTCAAAGATTGCTAGAAATAAGAAGATGTGCTTTCACACTGAACAGCATTTAAAAAATCGGTAGAGCCATAAACTATTGCGCCTCCCTCATGTTTATCTTTGCCAATTAAATTGGCTGTATCATGCTCTACAACTACCAGCAACTAAATTATTGGCGTTCTATCCATTGGTTTATTTTCGTATGCATATGACTTGCAGTAGCCTTGTGCAAAATTAGTTTTTTATATAATTGCGGAAAAGTCTCAATGGATTTCGGGCTCAAAAATGTTTGAAATAAGGGCGCGAAAATCTCCATCAATTGCTTGTCCAAATTTTTATTAATTCAATAATTTTTGTGAGGAAACGTATTTACTAGTTATGCTAGCAAATGGGGAATGTCGAACATGGATTGTAAATGGTCTTCTAAATTTGGAGGAAAATACAGTTTAGGGTAGCTATGGTATTGCTGGAAAAAATGGACATGCCCCGGATGCTTGTGACTAATAATTAAAGCTTTTTTTAGTAGCTCTTTGGCTTAAGGTTTAAGAGTACTCTTTTTGTAGTCCGCTTTCCAGTACCGTATTGCTATATTCTCGGGTTTTTGCAAAAATCCTAATTGAAATCCTCCAGTCATCACACAACCAATCAGCTGTGTAGCGTCTGTGTCAATAACAACTAGGGATAACAAACTCGATTTAGTCTATAATTAGGGATGACAAATTCGACAAACACGTATGCAACTAAACGTAGGTTCACACAATGCACAATATAAAGGTAAGATAAAGCTATCAGCTGATTGAAATTATAACCTCCACCATAGTATGGAGGGTATATAAAGTTTGTCATTCCGTTTGTAACACTTCGAAATATACATTTTATACCCCACAAAGTATATATATTCTGGATCAGCATAAAATACTATGTCGATTTAGCGATGGGTTAATAAAATTTTACTCAAATGTATAATATGTCAACAGGACTTTTTGTATTGAAATGGTTCACGTTTTGGTATAGCCCCCATATAACAGTACCTCCCGATATTCGGCATTTTGATGATTTTAGCGATATTATTCACCGGAACTTTTTCAAATTTGGTATTTGAAGTTCGTAATGAACACTACAGCCTATGACAGAAAATTGTCTGTGCAGGTCTACGTCTTCATAAAGCCCCCATATAACGATACCTCCCGATATTCGGTATTTTGATAATTTTAGCGACATTATTATCCGGAATTGTTTCAAATTTGGTATTTAAAGTTCGTAATGGATACTTCAGCCTATGACAGAAAATTGTCTGTGCAGGTCCAAGTCTTCATATAGCCCCCATATAACGGTACCTCCCGATATTGGGTATTTTGATAATTTTAGCGACATTATTATCCGGAATTGTTTCAAATTTGGTATTTGAAGTTCGTAATGGACACTACAGCCTAAGACACAACATTTTTCGTGCAGGTCCACAACTTCGTATAGCTCCCATATAACGTTTCCTCCCAATATTCGGTATTTTCATGATTTTAGCGACATTCTTTTCAGGAATTGTTTCTAATTTAGTATTTGAAGTTCGTAATGAACACTACAGCTTATGGCAAAAATTTTCTGTGCAGGTCCAAGTCTTCATATAGCCCCCCCTATAACATTTCCTCTCGATATTCGGTATTTTGATAATTTTAGCGACATTATTCTCCGGAATTGTTTCAAATTTGGTATTTGAAGTTCGTAATGGATACTATGAAAAACTGTCACTTTGACCAGGATAACACGTCCTATCTTCGGTATGAATTTCAGAATTTTCAATTTGTTCCATTTGAAGTCATGTTAATTGCTATCTAATACCTTATCATTTAAGGTGCAAATACGTAAGAAGCATGAAGTCATGGCTAGGCATATTTTGTGACATTTCATAAAGAGATTACGGAGCCGCACTAAAATCCGGCCGTCGTTTTCCATTACAATTTAACATTAATATGCCTAGCCGTGACTTCAAGCTTTTTATGTACTTGCACCTTTAATGTGGACATGCAAACCTTTCCTAAATATTGCTTTGCTCCAGAACTTGCAAGAATCTACTTTTTTTTAAATTAACCCCAATATAACAGTTATTTGTGGAAAAACATGGGTTAACTACAACTGTCATTTATCGATTGGTCCATTTTCCACATAAATAACGATTAGTCACTTATCGATTTACAGATCCCTTCCCCCCTTACGATTGCTTTGACCAACAGATTTTCAAACGATCTACAAAACTCTACACCGTCAAGAAGGAAAAAAATAAAATATTTATAGTTGTAGAAACAAAACCCCATATATATTTTGTGAAAAATATTTGACGGACAAAGGAAACAGCCATGTAATTTATAAAAAAAAAAGAAAACAAGTCTTCTGTAATCGGCGCCTCCACATTCAGAACAAAGAAGCAGTAGACGTTGTTTTACTGGAGATTGCAGTGTCGCCCATACACATCTACGCAAAAGAAAAATAAGAGGAGGGGAGCTAATTGCAAAAAAAAAAAAAGGCGAGAAGCAAGGAAGAAAGCGAAAAACTCGCCGACGCATAATTTTTTTTCCATTTGCCAACTGCCCCGTTGAGGCAGGAAGTTAAACGGGGTTACTGGAAGGAAGCCTGTGAATTTAAACTGCAAATAATATGGAAAACTTGTCAAAGTTTTCCAAAATATCCGATAACGCAACAGCAACGTGTAAAAGAGATTCAGCAACTTTGGGAATAAACTGTGCTGGGGGTGGTGTTGGTGGTGCAACATCACTAGTTAGCAGCGATGGAGCAAGTGGTGGCATTGCAATAACAAATCCCCCCATTGTTTCGGCCCATACATCCACCTGGCTGGCCGCTTTGCATGTCAATAATAATAACAATGCCGATAAATCCTTTATCAATGCTACTAAGGACACTCATCAACAACGTCATCATCACCACCACCATCATCATCATCAGCCAATGTATGGTAATAAATCAACAACAACAACCACATCATCGAGTCTAAAGGGGAACGTTCCAATAACAACAACAACAACAACAACAAACATTGCCAGTCAATCTTGGGAATGCGAAAGCTGTGATATCTATCAGAAAAACAATGGACAAGAATTATCACCATTGACAAGTAATACAACAATGACCAGAGTAGCATTGATAGAAGAGGATGAAGGAGGTGGTGGTTGCGGTGGCGGTAGTATTGCCGCTGGCATTGGTGTGGATAAGGTGAACGATTTTTGTTGTTGTTTTTCAATAATATTTATTTTTAAATACCGGCTATGGTTTTTTTTAAAGAAAGGGAAGAGAGGATTGAATATACTTTTAAAAAATTCCAAGAAGCTTTGGTATTGAAAAATAGAAAGTCGTAAACTCTGAGCCCAGGCCATACATTTCACTTCACTGTTTAAATGAAAGAAAATACATCATCATTTGCGTCATGATTCATCAGTGACTTGAATACATGCTGTAGTAGTTCTTGTACATTGTAGCATGCAATTCATGAAAAGCCAATTTGACCATAGACCGACCAGAGCCAGTGACACACAAAAAGAAAACAAGTGAATGAATCATCTCAATCGCTTTATCTCTGTACATTTACATGTTTTGTACTTGTTTTTCAGTCAAATTGCCAAGTTTCCCTTGTAGAGCAGGTCTTACGACCGCACATAATCCAGGTTTTTCCCCTGAAACCTATAGGAATTTTAGGAATGCTTTAATAATTTCCATAAGGATGCTATTTTGATTTCCATAATTGGCAATCATTTCGAATTCTTACAATTTTTAAAGCCTATTTTCAAATCCTTTTCTAACTCCTTTCCATTTTTTTCCAGTTTTCAACACCATCCCTAAATGGCATAACTTCCACAGCATATCACACATCTTCCGGTGTATCTGCTTCCAATGATAATAATCAAACTGCAAGAGATTTAACTGCAGCCGGAACGGCAGTTGGTCCAATGACCACAACATCATCGTTAGTGTCACCTCTGCTGCCAACGACTTCCTTTTTACCAAGCGAGACTGATTACAATTCTTATGATATGTGTGGTGCGGTCTCATTATCACCGCCTCTCCTGGAAGATCCCTTCGACGATTCAGAAGCTGCTGCAGCAGCGGCAGCTCTGGGCGGGGGCCATTCAAATCGCACCTCCCTCAATAATTCCACCGAAAATCTAAGCTACACAAGTGATAATTTCTATGGTGATGATCTCATACTGCTCGGTGAAGATGGTGATTTGGAGGCAGAGGAGTTGTCGCTCAACTCGGACGATTGTATCTATGCGTATCGTGGTGCTGGGGCAGATTTTGATTTAGCTCTGCCACCTCTGGGCGGCATAGCCGGCAATTTTGGCATCCATCCAGGGGGTGGGAATATTGCCCAAGAAGAAGAAACGGATTTTCTCGAAATGGATTTTGATCCAGATCCACCCTCAGAATTGGAATATAATCATGGAAATGAAATGAATGTTAGTGCCGGCAATAAGGAACAATATCTAATGCAAAGGGATGCCTGTCATTTGGCAACACCAACCCAAAGGCATCAATTGTTCTCTTCGCCCATTGACGATCTACCGCCAGCACCCAAAGCTTTGCAAGCCCAATCTTTGTTGAGTAAGAATTTTGCACGAATTACTTTACATTTGGATCAAATCCAAAAGGACTACAATGAGGAAAGTGATGAGGCAAGGGAGAGATTAAATTCCGCCCTGGATTCCCGGCCCTTGGAGGAAGAATTTGTAAAGGACACCAGTGTGGCGGACACCTGTCATTCATTGCCGAATACCTTGCATGAACATTTCACCAATCGTTGCAACTCTGAATCGGCTGTAACAAATACTTCCAAAGATGATTCACTGGCAGCCCCTTTGCAGATACTTGGCTGTGGTGCCAGCAGCAGCAGTAGCAGTCATGCAAAATCACCCTCAAAAATTACCGGAGCCAAACCGAAACGTTTGTCAACATTTTCCTCAACCTCTTCGACTTCATCGAAAAATTCCTCTAAATCTCGAAATTCATTACGTTCCGCCTTTCAGACATCCGCCATGGGTGCGACCTCATCGAGTTTTGATGAACGCAGTGTTAGTTGTTCCGAGTTCCGTACAGAACGTGATTTAGCCTCCACAGCGGTATTGGGTTGCAAACAACCATCCCTGATGCCCCACACGGCACCCACAACCGCCACAAGTTTAATGCCCGATTTTAATAGCTTCAACGATGAGACATGCTTGGATTGTTTGGAAAAAGAATTTCTGGCCAATACCATTGGCAAGGCTCTCGACCCCTCCGGTTGTATGAAATGTCGCAAACGTTTGGTGGGACATCATTCGATGTTATTTCCAAATCACCATCAGCAGCAGCAGCATCAGCATCCTCATCATCGTTCGGCACGCGATCATCTACACCATCAGCCATCGCCATCATCATCGTCATCCTCGACATCGAAATATCGCCGTAGTGCATCGCCCACCACAACGTTCTTTTTCAATGAACAAACTTCACCCACATCCAGGCTGTTTTCGTGTGAATTTCTAAATTCTCAAGCCCGCAAACGGCAAGAATGGGATACATTTATGCAGGAACAACAAAAGGAGATTCTAACACCAGAAATCAATTTGACAACGTCATCGCCATCGTCGTCATCATCACCATCAACCAAGGCTGTAAACAACGATACATTGAAAATGTCCAACACACAACAACTACAATCAAGGTCGGCAACTGCGGTTGGTGCTGCTGCTGCTGCTGCTAAATTGGATATCAAAAATTTAAATGAAAGTCTTAAAGATTTAGAAACGAAGGTAAGGGGAATTGTCTGGGAAAAAGGGCAGCAGCTAAAAATAGGTCAAATAATAACGTATTTTTATATCCTCAGCCATATGGCTTAGGTGGGTCGGCAAAACCGACTGATACTTTTTAAATATTCTATTTTGTTTTTTAATTCTTCCTTTTCCATAGAACTTTAATATTTTAAAAAAATATATATTTCTAATCATTTTTTATTTTGTTTTTTTTTTTCCAGCTGCTAAAGAATCTCAAGCTTCCCGATCCCTGTACGGTAACACTCTCTACGAATAATTTAACAGAATCTAGTCTTGTGCAGGCACTGGTAAATATTTGAATTTATTTTCTTCAAATTAAACTGTTAATTTTCGTATTTTCCTCTATTGCAGGACAAACTTCAAATCGCCTACAATCAAGAACATTTAAAAGTCTATTTTAAAAAGCTCAGCAATAATAACAACAGCGGCATCATCAATAACAATAATAGCAGTTCCTCATCAAATATTTATACAATTTCACATCAAGAATTTAAAACTTTAAAAGATTTTCTCTTGTATGTCTCCAAGAGACAGGGAAATTATCATAAGCTAAAGCGTTTGATAGGTAAAATAACACAACAACAAGTAATAGTGCAATTTAAAGAGGTAAGATGTTTTTTCCCGGATACTAGACCTATTTGATGTCTCTGAAGACTTCCTACGGGGCGTCTAAGGAGACAGAGTTTTGGTCGTCTCGACAGAGTTTTACACAATTTTATATTAAATTTATTTTTAAAGGATATTTGAAGGACTATGAAATTTAATTTTTAAAGAAATATTTAAGGAATTTTTAGAGGATATTTTGAGTACCACAAACTTGGATTTTTAATGAATATTTAGAGGACTAGGAAAGTGGATTTTTTGAAGATTTTTTAAAGGAATTTTTAGAGGATATTTAGAGAACCAGAAACGTGGATTTTTTATGGACATTTAGAGGACTATAAATGTGGATTTTTTGAAGATTTTTTAAGGAATTTTTAGAGGATATTTTGAGTACCACAAACGTGGATTTTTAAAGGATACTTGGAGGACTATGAAAGTGTATTTTTGAAGGAATTTTGAGAGGATATTTTGAGTACCACAAACGTGGATTTTTAAAGGATACTTGGAGGACTATGAAAGTGTATTTTTGAAGGAATTTTGAGAGGATATTTTGAGAACCACAAACGTGGATTTTTAATGGATATTTAGAGGACTAGGAAATGGATTTTTTTTTTAAGATATTGTTTAAGGAATTTTTGGAGGATATTTTGAGAACCGCAAACGTGGATTTTTAAAGGATATTTAGAGGACTAGGAAAGTGGATATTTTTAAGATATTGTTTAAGGAATTTTTAGAGGATATTTTGAGTACCACAAACGTGGATTTTTAATGGATATTTAGAGGACTATGAATGTGGATTTTTTGAAGATTTTTTAAGGAATTTTTCGAGGATATTTTGAGAACCACAAACGTGGTTTTTTAATGGATATTTAGAGGACTAGGAAAGTGGATTTTTTGAAGATTTTTTTAAGGAATTTTGAGAGGATATTTTGAGAACCACAAACGCGGATTTTTAAAGGATACTTGGAGGACTATGAAAGTGTTTTTTTAAGGAATTTTTTGAGGATATTTAGAGAACCACAAACGTGGATTTTTAATGGATATTTAGAGGACAAGGAAAGTGGATTTTTTAAGGAATTTTGAGAGGATATTTTGAGAACCACAAACGTGGATTTTTAAAGGATATTTGGAGGACTGTGAGAGTGGATTTTTTAAAGATTTTTTAAGGAATTTTTTTGAGGATATTTTGAGAACAACAAACGTGGATTTTTAAAGGATATTTGGAGGACTGTGAGAGTGGATTTTTTAAAGATTTTTAAAGGAATTTTTAGAGGATATTTTGAGAACTACAATCGTGGATTTTTAAAGGATATTTGGAGGACTATAAATGTGGATTTTTTGAAGATTTTTTTAAGGAATTTTTAGAGGATATTTTGAGAACCACAAACGTGGTTTTTTAATGGATATTTAGAGGACTAGGAAAGTGGATTTTTTGAAGATTTTTTTAAGGAATTTTGAGAGGATATTTTGAGAACCACAAACGCGGATTTTTAAAGGATATTTGGAGGACTATGAAAGTGGATTTTTTGAAGATTTTTTTTAAGGATTTTTTAGAGGATATTTTGAGAACTACAAACGTGGACTTTTAAAGGATATTTGGAGGACTGTGAAAGTGGATTTTTTAAAGATTTTTTAAGGAATTTTGAGAGGATATTTTGAGAACAACAAACGTGGATTTTTAATGGATATTTAGAGGACTAGGAAAGTGGATTTTTTGAAGATTTTTTTTTTTAAGGAATTTTTAGAGGATATTTTGAGAACCACAAACGTGGATTTTTAAAGGATACTTGGAGGACTATGAAAGTGTATTTTCTAAGGAATTTTTAGAGGATATTTTGAGAACCACAAACGTGGATTTTTAAAGGATATTTGGAGGACTAGGAAAGTGGATTTTTTGAAGATTTTTTTTAAAGAATTTTTAGAGGATATTTTGAGAACAACAAATGTGGATTTTTAAAGGATATTTGGAGGATAATTTTGGAGTATTTTTAAATGATATTTGGAGGACCAAGAAGTGAATTTTTTAAATAATTTAAAAAATATTTAGAGCATTTTTAAGGATTTAAAGAATTGAAAAAGTGAATTAAAAAAAAATATATGGATTTTTTAAAGGATGTCTACGACATTCTTCACGATCTATAAACGTGGATTTCTTAAAGGAATTTTAGAGGATATTTAAGGGTGTATAAAAATGGATTTTGAATGCAATTTTAGGAAATACTTCAAGGACTATAAAAGTGGATTTTTGAGGGATATTCAAAGGTCTGCAAGCGTAGATTTTTTAAAGTTTTTTTCTGGGAATTTTTAGTGAATATTTAAGGGATTAAAAAAGTGAATTTTTTAATGAATTTTCGAAAGATACTTCAAGGATTAAAAAAAGAGAATTTTCAAAGGATATTCAGAGGAGTGCAAACGTGAATTTTTTTTAAGAAATTTTATAGGATTTTTAAGGAATTTTTAGAGAACCACAAACGTGAATATTAAATATTTTTTTGAGAGAACTTTAAAGGAATTATTGAGGAGTTTTTAGTGGATATTTAAAGGACGATAAAAGTGGATTTTTATTCATTTTTAAGAGATACTTTAAACAATATAAAGATGAACTTTTTAAAGTATATTTCGAGGACTACAAAGGTAGATTTTTTTAAGGGTATTTAGGGAACCACAAAGGTTGATTTCAAAGGAATGTTTGCAGGATTCTAAAGATAATATTTAGAAGATTTTTAAAGAATTTTTAGAGTATATTCAGAGAACTGCAAATGTTGATTTTATAAAGAATTATTAGAGGAATTTTTAAAGAGTTTCAAGAGGATTTATAAGGAATTTTTAGAGGACCACAAATGAGGATTTTCAGGGAATTTTTAGAGGACTTAAAAGGAATTTTTTTTGATCGTTTTGGTTATTTAAAACTTTGACCTTTTGTGGGGGAGGTACCAGAAGGAATGGTCCGATCTCTACAATCTATATAAAAGATGTTGCGTTGATGGAAAGATTGGGATGTGCCAAGTCCGAATGAAATCGGATGTTAATTTCGCGTTTTATGAGCTTCATGGATATTCAAAACATTGACCCTTTGTAGGGGAGGTACCAGAAGGAGTGGCCCGATACATTTCATCTTCACACCATACCTTGGTTCAATAAAAGTATTGCGGTGTGTGAAATATGAGGAGAACCGGACTCTTACATCACATTTTATAAGAAATGTTGACCCTTTGTGGGGGAGGTACTTGATGGAGTGGACCGATGTTGGCCATTTTCGCACCTGGCCTAGCACTGATGAAAGTATTAGGATTTGCAACGTTGGAGCAAAATCGCATTATCCTTTCTCTATCTGCGCAGAAATTTTTTTTTGGACATTTTCGATCTTTTTTTGGAGGAGGTACCAGAAGGAGTGGACCGATATTGCCCATCTCCGAACTCGATCTAAGTTTAATAATAATATTACGATTTACCAAGTTTGGACCAAATCGGATACTACCTTTGAGATTTAAAGGGCGCCTCAGTCAGCCCGACAGACAGACGGACGGATATCGCTAAATGCCTTGAAACGTATTTGGTCCAAAGAGACCTAGGATCTAAAATCGTTATTTCGATGAGCCACATTTTTGGCCGTATCAAATGATATATACCCTTTCTAGCCGTATGGCTGAGATTTATTATTCCTTCAGCCATATGGCCAGAAAGTGTATATATCATTTGATACGGCCAAAACCGAAACAAGTTTTTGAAAATTCGTGATTAAAAAATAAATTTTTATATTTTCTTTTCCCCCACCCCCTCCCAACAGGACCCTTCAATAACCGAACTGGAAATGGTTCCTGTAAGAGTATCAGATATTTTACATTATTGGTCGCAATGTAAAAATTTGGAATGCTTAAAAGATCTGGACAAACGATTTCATGATGCAAACATATTGGGTAAGTACCTCGATTGGCAATTTTTGGATTCAATTAATCAGATTTTTATTTTCAGGAAAAATTGCCAATATAATACGGCAGGCTCATCAACGTTCATCGAGTTCATCGCGACGGCCCCTACCCGAGTTTATTTCCATACCACAGTATTATCCAACAGGTTTTCTAACAATTATTAAAAAATAAGGCGATGAATGGCAAATAGAAAAAAACAACAACAAAAGAGATTATCCAGTTCTATATTATCCAAGCAAAACAACAACAACAGCAACCACACATAGTCAATAAGGAACAGCAATATTAAAAAGAATTAAAAAAACGACAACAAATTATGAAAAAAAAAACAAAACAAAAATCAAATTTAAATAACCAAAACCCAGACACACACACACACTCCAACAACAATCAACGAAATGGAAATTTAAGAAAATTATTTATGTTGTTGTTTCTTCCCCTCCCCTAAAATTTGTTTTTTTTTTTAGCACAATTTCCCATAATTTGTGTGAATTGTTTGTATTTGTATTTTGTATGTGTTGTTGTAACAACAACATCAAAAAAAAAAATTCAATTAAAACTAGAAAACAACACAAAAAGAAACTTCATCTAGAAATCAACTGCAATTAAGCCCTATCACTCAACAACAACAACATATTTATTTATATATAAATAAATATATTTATATGATGATAATATAACTGTAATATTATTATGAAAATGGAAAACAAAACTCCAACAACAACAACCACTTTTTATAGCTTATACTTATTATTAAAATATTTAATATTTTTTAAGTAGCCTGGTATGCTTTAAATCAATAATAATGATGATTAAAATAATATATAAAGAACAACAAAACACAAACGACACTATCTACATTAGTATATGTGGGCATGTTAATTATTTGTATAAAACAGACAACATCCAATACAACAATATATTACGTAAGAAAGGAATTAACTTCAACAACCATTTGGAAAAGGAAACATAAATAATCAGAAAAAAATTAAAAAAAAAAGACATTTATGAACTTTAAATGTGGTTGCCAAGGTTGTTAAGAAATGATTAGGAGGGGATTTGAAATGGAGTAAAACGAAGGCTACTTCCAGGGATTTTTAAAAAAATATTTTTAGAGTCCCTTGGCAAACTTGGATTTTCTAAAAATTATTTCTAGAGTCCCTTGGCAAACGTAGATTTTTTAAAAATTATTTTTAGAGTCCCTTGGCAAACGTGGATTTTTTAAAAATTATTTTTAAAGTCCCTTGGCAAACGTGGATTTTTTAAAAATTATTTTTAGAGTCCCTTGGCAAACGTGGATTTTTTAAAAATTATTTTTAGAATCCCTTGGCGAACGTGGATTTATTAAAAATTATTTTTAAGGTCCCTTGGCAAAGGTGGATTTTTTAAAAATTATTTTTTGAATCCCTTGGCAAACGTGGATTTTTTAAAAATTATTTTTAGAATCACTTGGCAAACGTGGATTTTTTAAAAATTATTTTTAGAATCACTTGGCAAACGTGGATTTTTTAAAAATTATTTTTAGAATCCCTTGGCAAACGTGGATTTTTTAAAAATTAGATTTAAGGTCCCATAACAAACGTGGTTTTTTTTAAAAATTATTTTTAAGGTCCCATAACAAACGTGGATTTTTTTAAAAATTATTTTTAGAATCCCTTGGCAAACGTGGATTTTTTAAAAATTAGATTTAAGGTCCCATAACAAACGTGGTTTTTTTTAAAAATTATTTTTAAGGTCCCATAACAAACGTGGATTTTTTTAAAAATTATTTTTAGAATCCCTTGGCAAACGTGGATTTTTTTAAAATTATTTTTAGAATCTCTTGGCAAACGTGGATTTTTTAAAAATTATTTTTAGAGTCCCATAACAAACGTAAATTTTTTAAAAATTATTTTTAAGGTCCCATAACAAACGTGGATTTTTTAAAAATTATTTTTAAGGTCCCATAACAAACGTGGATTTTTTAAAAATTATTTTTAAGGTCCCATAACAAACGTGGATTTTTTAAAAATTATTTTTAAGGTCCCATAACAAACGTGGATTTTTTAAAAATTATTTTTAAGGTCCCATAACAAACGTGGATTTTTTAAAAATTATTTTTAAGGTCCCATAACAAACGTGGATTTTTTAAAAATTATTTTTAAGGTCCCATAACAAACGTGGATTTTTTAAAAATTATTTTTAAGGTCCCATAACAAACGTGGATTTTTTAAAAATTATTTTTAAGGTCCCATAACAAACGTGGATTTTTTAAAAATTATTTTTAAGGTCCCATAACAAACGTGGATTTTTTAAAAATTATTTTTAAGGTCCCATAACAAACGTGGATTTTTTAAAAATTATTTTTAAGGTCCCATAACAAACGTGGATTTTTTAAAAATTATTTTTAAGGTCCCATAACAAACGTGGATTTTTTAAAAATTATTTTTAAGGTCCCATAACAAACGTGGATTTTTTAAAAATTATTTTTAAGGTCCCATAACAAACGTGGATTTTTTAAAAATTATTTTTAAGGTCCCATAACAAACGTGGATTTTTTAAAAATTATTTTTAGAGTCCCTTGGCAAACGTGGATTTTTTAAAATTTATTTTTAGAGTCCCTTGGCAAACGTGGATTTTTTAAAAATTATTTTTAGAATCCCTTGGCAAACGTGGATTTTTTAAAAATTATTTTTAGAATCCCTTGGCAAACATGGATTTTTTTAAAATTATTTTTAGAGTCCCTTGGCAAACGTGGATTTTAAAATATTATTTCTAGGGTCCCTTGGCAAACGTGGATTTTAAAAATTATTTTTAGAATCCCTTGGCAGACGTGGATTTTTTAAAAATTATTTTTAAAATCCCTTGGCAAACGTGGATTTTTTAAAAATTATTTTTAAAATCCCTTGGCAAACGTGGATTTTTTAAAAATTATTTTTAAAATCCCTTGGCAAACGTGGATTTTTTAAAAGTTATTTTTAGAATCCCTCGGCAAAAGTGGATTTTTTAAAAATTATTTTTAGAATCCCTTGGCAAACGTGGATTTTTTAAAAATTATTTTTAGAATCCCTTGGCAAACGTGGAGTTTTTAAAAATTATTTTTAGAATCCCTTGGCAAACGTGGATTTTTTAAAAATTATTTTTAGAGTCCCTTGGCAAATGTGGACTTTTTTTAAAAATTATTTTTAGAGTCCCTTGGCAAACGTGGATTTTTTAAAATTTATTTTTAGAGTCCCTTGGCAAACGTGGATTTTTTAAATTTTTTTTAAGGTCCCATAACAAACGTGGATTTTTTAAAAATTTTTTTTAAGGTCCCATAACAAACGTGGATTTTTAAAATTTTTTAGAATCCCTTGGCAAACGTGGATTTTTTAAAAATTATTTTTAGAATCCCTTGGCAAACATGGATTTTTTAAAAATTATTTTTAGAATCCCTTGGCAAACGTGGATTTTTTAAAAATTCTTTTTAGAGTCCCTTGGCAAACGTGATTTTTTAAAAAGTATTTTTAGAATCCCTTGGCAAACGTGAATTTTTTTATAATTATTTTTAGAATCCCTTGGCAAACGTGAATTTTTTAAAAATTATTTTAGAGTCCCTTGGCAAACGTGGATTTTTTAAAAATTATTTTTAGAATCCCTTGGCAAACGTGGATTTTTTAAAAATTATTTTTAGAATCCCTTGGCAAATGTGGATTTTTTAAAAATTATTTTTAGAGTCCCTTGGCAAACGTGGACTTTTTTAAAAATTATTTTTAGAGTCCATTGGCAAACGTGGATTTTTTAAAAATTATTTTTAGAGTCCCTTGACAAACGTGGATTTTTTAAAATTATTTTTAGAGTCCCTTGGCAAACGTGGATTTTTTTAAAAATTATTTTTAGAGTCCCTTGGCAAACGTGGATTTTTTAAAAATTATTTTTACGGTCCCTTGGCAAAAGTGGAATTTTTAAAAATTATTTTTTGAGTACCTTGGCAAACGTGGTTTTTTTAAAAATTATTTTTAGAATCCCTAGGCAAACGTGGATTTTTTTTAAAAATTATTTTTAGAATCCCTTGGCAAACGTGGATTTTTTTAAAAATTATTTTTAGAATCCCTTGGCAAACGTGGATTTTTTAAAAATTATTTTTAAGGTCCCACAACAAACGTGGATTTTTTTTAAATTATTTTTAGAATCCTTTGGCAAACGTGGATTTTTTAAAAATTATTTTTGAGGTCCCACAACAAACGTGGATTTTTTAAAAATTATTTTTGAGGTCCCACAACAAACGTGGATTTTTTAAAAATTATTTTTAGAGTCCCTTGACAAACGTGGATTTTTTTTAAATTATTTTTAGAGTCCCTTGACAAACGTGGATTTTTTTTAAATTATTTTTAGAGTCCCTTGACAAACGTGGATTTTTTTTAAATTATTTTTAGAATCCTTTGGGAAACGTGGATTTTTTAAAAATTATTTTTAGAATCCCTTGGCAAACGTGGACTATTTTTAAAAATTATTATTAGAATCCCTTGGCAAACGTGGACTTTTTTTTTTAAATTATTTTTAGAATCCCTTGGCAAACGTGAAGTTTTTTTTAAAATTATTTTTAGAATCCCTTGGCAAACGTGGATTTTTTAAAAATTATTTTTAGAATCCCTTGGCAAACGTGGATTTTTTAAAAATTATTTTTAGAATCCCTTGACAAACGTGGATTTTTTAAAAATTATTTTTAGAATCCCTTGACAAACGTGGATTTTTTAAAAATTATTTTTAGAATCCCTTGACAAACGTGGATTTTTTAAAAATTATTTTTAGAATCCCTTGACAAACGTGGATTTTTTAAAAATTATTTTATAAAAATGGATTTTTTTAAAGGATATGCGTTGTTTTTAAAAGGATATTTGGAGAACTATACAAGTGATTTTTTTGCAGGATATTTTAAGAAACTTTTTGAGGGTATTTAGAGAACCTCAAACGTAGATTTTTAAAGAAATTTTTAGAGGAGAACCACAGACGTGGATTTTTAAAGAATTGTTAGAGGATTTTTTAAGAAATTTTTAGTGGACATTTAAAGGACTATAAAAGTGGAATTTTCAAAAGAATATTTTAAAGATTATAAAAGTGGATTTTTAAAGAACTTTTAGAGGATTTTGAAGGATTTTCATAGGACTATAAACGTGGATTTTTTAAATGATATTTGGAGAACTATAAAAGTGAATATTTAAAGAATTTTTAGAGGAGGTTTCAGGGGATTTTTTGAGGGATTTTTAATGGATATATAAAGGATTTTAAAAGTAGATTTTTAATAAAATTTTTAAGAGTACTTCAGGGACCATAAACGTGGATTTTTGAAAGATATTTGGAGGACTATAAAAGTGGATTTTTAAAGAATTTTTAGAGGATTTTTCAAGAGGTTTTTAGAGGACTGTGTGTATTTTATGATAATGTGTATTTTATAAAAAACTTTAAGAGGATTTTTTAATGAATTTTTAGAGAATATTTTGAGGACCAAAAACATGAATTTTTTTAAAGAATTTTTATAGGATATTTGGAGAACCACAAACGGGAATTTAAAAAAATGTAGAGGATTTTTCTGGGATATTTTTTAGAGGAGTTTTAAAGAATTCTAAGAGGATATTTAGAGAACCGCACACATGGATTTTTAAAGAATTTTAAGAGGAGTTTCAGTGAATCTTTGGAGAACCACAAACGCGGGAACTTTGAGAGGATTTTTAAGGAAGCACAAACTCGAATTTTTATAGCATTTTTCTGGGAATCTTTAATGGACATTTAAAGGACTATAAAAGTGAATTCTTAATGAATTTTTAGGAGATACTTCAGTAACTATAAATGCGGTTTTTTAAAGGATTTTAGATGACCATAAAAGGGGATTTTTTAAAGAATTTTTGAAGTTTATTTGGAGGTATATATAAATGATTTTTTTAAAGAATTTTTAGAGGATATTTAAAGAACTAAAGACATATATTTCTAAAAAAATAGAGGATTTTAAAGGAATTTTTAGAGGCTATTAAGTGGACAACAAACGTGGATTTTTAAAGAATTTTAAGAGGATTCTTTGAGAACCACAAAAGTGGATTTTTAAAGAATTTTTAGTGGATTTCTAACGGTATGTTTAAACGATTTTTAAGGAACTTTAGATGATATTCAGAGGACCGCAGACGTGTAGAATTTTTAGATGATTTTTAAGGAATTTTTTGAGGATTTTTTTTTTAAAGAATTTAACGAAGATTAGAATTTAATGAAAGTTAATTTCTAAAATATTTTTAGAGAAAATTTTAAGGAATTTTGGAGAATAAACAAGAATACTCGACAAAGATATAAAAATTAGGTCCACTTTTTGGTATAGGTCGCTTTTAATGATAATACCAGCTGTCAGAATTTTCAGCGGAAAATTTAACTTCTCACAAATATATTCAATATAGGATTACTAATTTTACTTCTCGGTAATAAATAGAGGTATAGCTTCCAAATTTTAGAGTCACAAGCAAAAATTTTGGAATGGGGGAAGACGTATTTACTTGCTTAAGTAAGGCCCTTTATGGAAAACATCAAGTGAAATGGTCCGATGAGGTTCCTCAGACTTTTGTTTTATAGAAAAGTTGAAACAAATATTTACAGGTTTTTAAGGACGGTAATTGCTTTTCACAACATGCCACTGTTTGCTAATATTATTTAATTGCAGATTCTTGTCAATTTTAATTGGAATTCCTCTATATTGCCGGGAAAGTCTGGAGCAAGCGATAGATTACCTGAATTCGATCGACACAAAGGAAAGAACGGAAAAATCAGCAAAGCACTGAAATTGGACAAAATGGGTAAGTCGAAAAATATTTATTTTTTAATTGTCGGGGATCCTATTGTAATTTTAACAAGTAAAAAAGCTGTAAGTTCGCCTGGGCCGATCTTTGCATGCCCTCCACCATTTGGAACGATTTTGGCAATTTTCAAAAAAATTAAATTCGTTAAAAATTCTGCTAAAATCTTAAAAACACCGAATGTGGCCGTTATGTTAGGGTCTATACGACGATGTGTACCTACGTACTAAACTTGAATAAAAAATTCGGTGAATAATGTAGCTAAAATCGTCAAAAAACGGAATATCGGGAGGAACCGTTATATGAAGGCTATACGAGGATGTGGACTTGCACCGACAATTTTCTAACATAGGCTGTAGTACCCATTACGACCTTCAAATACCAAATTTGAAACAATTCCGGTAAATAAAGTACCGAAAAAAGGGAGGTACCTTATATGGGGGCTATACCAAAACGTGGACCTGCACAGACAATTTTCTGTCATAGGCTGCAGTATCCGTTATGAATTTCAAATACCAGATTTGAAACAATTTCGATGAATAATGTCGCCAAAATCATCAAAGTACCGAATATCGGGACTTATCGTTATATAGGGGATATACGAAGACGTGGACCTGCATACGAACTTTAAATAGCAAATTTGAAACATTTCCGGTAAATAATGTCGCTTAAATCACCAAAATACCAAAAAAGGGAGGTATCGTTATGTGGGGGCTGTACCAAAACGTCGACCTACATGACCCATTTTCAATACCAAAAGTCCTGCAGACATAATACACATTTGAGTAAAATTTTATCAACCTACTTCATTTCGTTCGGAAGCTAGAGTGATTTCCACAGACGGACGGACATCGCTAAATCGACATAGAATTTTATGCTAATCAGGAATATATATACTTTGTGGGATCTAAAATGTATATTTCGAGGTGTTCCAAACGGAATGTCAAACTTAATATATCCTCAATACTATGGTGGAGAGTATAAAAAATTCATTTGCAATCCATGCTCACACAGCTCTTAAAATTCATTCCAGACCACTTTTGAAATTTATTAAAAAATCTCCTGTTAGGACTTCCTAAAGTCCTATTTAAATTTCCATAAATCCCTTTCAAACCCCTCTAAAAAACCCTCTAAAAAAAAACTTCCAAAAATTTATTTTAAAATAGCGTTTGTTTCCTATTAAAAACCCAAGTCTTATAATAACCTCAGAAGACCTTTTAAAATGTTTCCTATAACTCTTGAAAAAAAAAATTTGCTTTAAAATTCTAATTAAGACCATTATAAAAATACTTTTTAAACCCCTCCCAAAATGCCTTTAAATAATTTGTTCAAAATCTCTTTCGTGGTTTTTCTTTTAAAACCTACAAAAAATTCTTTACAAATTCATTAAAAATTTCTTTTTAAAACCGAATTTCAAAGGAGATTTGAAATAGTTTTTGGAACCTCTCTCCCAAAAATGTGTGACAAAATTTTTCCAAAAACCCTCCTTTGACCTACAAAAAATCCTTAAAAAAATCATTCAAAATTTCCTTTAAAACAGATTTAAAATCGTTTTTGAAACCTTTTAAAACTCTCCTAAAAATGTGTGACTAATTTTTTTCCAAAACCCCCCTTTGAAAATTCATTTAAAAAATCTCCATTCAATTACCTCAATCTTCAAATTCGAACAAACACTTCATTTCTTTCAACATTTTTTTCGGTTGTTTTTATTATAATTTTCAAAACAATTGTATTTTGTTGTTATTACACAAATAAAACCACTTGCAATTGTCTTTTGTTTTTCTTCTTCGTTCATTTTTAATTTGTTCTTTCGTTTTTTGTGTTTGAATATTTTTGAAAAAATATTAATGGTTCCTTTATTACAGTTTTATTTTTAAATAACTTTTGCTTGGTTTTGTTTTTGTTTTCTTTTTTTGTTTATATTATATAAAAAACTAAATTCTCTTAAATTAATCTTGATATTTTTTTGTTTTGTTTTTGTTTGTTTCATTCCTTTATGTTTCCTATATTTGAAATAAATTGTCTTTGCTATTTTTTTGTTTCGTTTTGTTTTTGTTACAAGGAAAAGAAAATTACAAAATAATATTAAAAAAAATAATTACAACAAATTCCATACCTCACTCAAAAATCATCATCATTATCGTAGGTTTTTGGGTGATCATCGGCGGCGGCAGCGTAGGAGGATGAGGAGTAGGAGTAGTACAAAAAGACAGCCTTTTTTTAAGTTTTAGTATCTTTGCCGACTGGGATAACTACCGGGGGGTGGGGGCTGATAGTAATTACCACCTCCTCTACTCGACGAGATGGGTGGTTGCGAGTCAACACCGGGTGGAGGCGGTGGAGGTACTCCTCCACTGGCATTGGCAGCTCCCGGCGGCATGGGCGGTACACTGGCATAGTGGGCCGGACCACCATATGAAGATGGTGCACAATATGGCACCATGGGTTGGGGTGGAGGTGGCAAAGGTGGTGGTATAACACCCGCCGCTGCATTGGGCCCAGCCACACTGGGTACATGCGGAGGATAACCTGATGCTGGTGGCATGGGTGCACCCTGGGCATACATGGCATGCATTGGATGGTGTCCCGCCATGGGAGGCATGGCAGTGTACATGTGATGGGAAGAGGCGGTGGCCGCCGCATGATGATGATGATGCGGGGGATGATGGTAACCGGAGGAAGCTGCTGCCACACCATGTGGTGGTGGCGCTGCATGATGATCAATGGAGGCAGGAGGTACAGTTGGTATGCTAGAGGCAATGGTCGGTATGGGTTTAATATTTTGTGCATTATTTAGATCATTTGACACTGAATTCGCTGCGGCCGTCGGTGCTGTTGTTGGTGGTGGTTTCGTTTTGCCCGCCGGTGACCCAGCATGATTTGCCGCTGAGGTCAGCGCCGATTTCATGGGTGTAGGACTATCCGCCCTACTTGGTGGTTTCTGTGGTGGACTATTGCTTTCTGTGGTCTCTTTGGAATTGCTTTGATACAAATCCAGCACCTGATGGCATATGTCTTCCAAAATGTCCATGGTGACGTCGGAAACAAACATATCCCACCAGCGGGTGTGATGCGGCTGGCGACCTATCCAATCGGTTACCGTAAATTTACTCAATTTACTGGCCAAATAGATTAGGGCCACCGCAATAATTTCCGGCTCCCATTGCAGACACACAACCGTACTCAGCGAATCGTTGACAAAATTCCAGGCCATTTGTACCATTTTTTGTAACTTCTGTTGATCGCCCTTGAAACATTTGGCATAGCGGAGCAGAAAGGAATAGGGGTGTTCCACCTGCAGATCAAACTTAATGGTTTGCAATAGAATCCGTTCCAGGGTTATGACTTCCTAAAAGGAAGAATCAAAAAAAATCTTTTGGGTATTTCATCAAACAAGTGATTCATTTGCCACCTACCTCTTTGGGTTCTTTGCCAAACGAATAGAAATGATTATCGGACAGTAACTGACGTGCTATTAGTATAATATCTCGACATTTCTTTGGTGTCTCCTCCACTTTGCCGGCCAGCAAGAGGCAGCAACATGCTGTCACATAACGTGGAAACTGTTTGAAGGACTGGAACATATAGAAACGATGGAAATACACCACACCCGTGGCCATGGTGTTGTGGCCCAAACCCATCTGTGTGCCACAGGTCATAATGAAACGGGCGCCCTCTTTGCGATAACGCCTCTCCGTTTCCAATGGAATGCCATCACGTATTGAAGGAGTGTCACGCAGCTCGCTCTTGTCATAATACCAACAAGGCATTTTCTGGGCAAGCTTTACGTCGTCGTTGCGGCAGTCTTGTATTTCTTGCGCTCCACTTTTAGGCAAAAGGACACCCAGAGTCCACTCGAACTTGCAATTTGTTTACACAGTGGGGGTCAGGCGGATGAAGTCTAATTGTCCGCTCGCTTGGATCACCACCACACCAACCTAACAACACAAAAAAATGCTTGCTGCCGTTTACACTTGCTCTCTTTGGTAGCTTTCACTTGACACAACTTTGCTTGCACTGCTGTCGGTTCTGTCTTCTTTTCTTGTTTCGTTTTGCGTAATTAAGGTAATGGTATTTGTTAACAAAACAAAAAATAGTTTAAGTCATTAATTATTCTAAATACAATAATAATATTAATAGGAATTTATTTAGTTTTTATATCTTTCTTTTTTTATTATTTTCTATTCGTTTGCCAAATGCACGTAAATCTCTGCTCTCATCAACTGTCAAACTTGGAGATTCTTGCATGTAGGAAAAAGAAGAAGCAAAGAGAACAGCTGTTTACCCGGTGTGTAGGGTTGTATTTTAAAGCAATGATTTGTGACAGGGGTGGGAATGATTTATTGTTAACAGGAAAATAATAGGATTTTTTTGATATATATGGAAATAAAATGAACAAAAACGTCATTTTGGCTTATAATTAATAATTTTTTTAAATTTATCTGGTAGTCACTGCATTTTTTCACAGTAGCATCTTCATTTTAGTTTAAAAAAAAAACAAAGCAAATTTGTAATTAATTCCTATAAGTAAATCTTTAATTCAGATCTTCAATAAAAAATAAACGAATTACTTTATCCATTTTCTATTGGAATACATTTTGCTGTTATTGTCATATTATCAATATGAAATATGGCAAAATGAATTCAATAAAATTTACGTTAAAAACTAAAGGGAAGAGGTTCTGACATTTTGCTTTACGAACAGTTCATATTTAAATAAAACTTGTAATAACGAAAAACGATTTATGTGTCCGACAACATAATTTTGTTATTTATCGGCCATTATATATACATCAAGCAGAGATCGGGACTTGATTTCTATAAGTAAAAGTTAGATATTCTCCTTCGAAAAGAGGCCACCGTAAAAATATTGTACTATGGAGTTGAGTCTTAATTCTTGCTTTACCGGCATGTGAAATAAAAACTATTATTAATATGTTCCAGAAATTTGTACTATCATAGAACCACTTTCTGAGTCGATTTATGCATGTCATTCTGTCCGTCCATGCATTTTTGTGAACAAAATGCAGGTCGCATTTATCATCCGATTAAAATGAAAATTTTAAACAATATTTCTTTGGCACAAGCACGAACCCTATTAATATTGGTCAGAATCGGTTAAAATTTATATATAGCTCCCATATATATATTGTACACCAAATGGCCAATACCAGTCCAAATGGAGTAAATTTTGGCTCATCCGACCGAATTTAGTCTAGAAGCAAGTACATCAAAAGAAAGTCGGTTCAGATATAGCTATAGCTCCCATATATATGTTTCATCCGATTTGGGGGTTTAAGTCCCTCACATGGTAATATGCACTCCACAATAATGATTTTTGTTACCAGATTTTTGGTACCAGCCCAGAAAAACTTCTGTCAAATTTTATCGACATCGGATCAGATTTAGATATAGCTCCCATATCTATCTTCAACCGATTTCGGGTTAATTGTGCACCAAATGGCTAATATCAGCCCCATAAGACTGAATTTTGTCAAGATCGGCTAAGATATTATGGGAGCTATATCCCATAATATCTTTATCCGATATCAGGTTTATTTTTCACCAATCAGTCCAAATGCACTGAATCTTGGCAATTCCTACTGAATTTTTCCTACAAACAAGAACTTCAAATTTGAAGAAAATCGATCCAGTTATAGCTATAGCTCCCATATATATATTTCATCCGATTTGGTGTTAAAGTCCCTCACATGCGTTATGTACACACCAAAATAATGCTATTTGATATCGGTCATCAGATACTGCTCGAAAATACCTCTGTCAAACTTATTCAGATCGGTTCAGATTTTTATATACCTTCGATATACATCTTCATTCGATTTTACAGTTATTGCTCACCATATATGTAATATCAGCCCAAATTGAATAGATTTTTTCATATTCAACCGAGTTTTAGCATTTGGTGGAACTCAGTCTGGTATATGTATTGTTCCAATAATTATTTTTTTATATAATCCTAATCGAAGTCATATCATGCGCTATGCAGCGATGTTAATTGGTTCATAGTTGGTATTAAGTACTTCACATAAATTCTTAATATAAACCTTTTTGTTACGAAAGCTCTACTAAATACCCATAGCGGTGTAGGATATCATATAGCCGGCCCTTTCCGACTTTTGACCTTTACTTGTTGGTTTTATGTTCTATTTATTTGCCAAATGCCTGAAAATCTCGACTTTTCGCTGCTGAATTGCCAAGCTATCATTTCATAGTGAATGGCGACATTTGCATGAATGAGAGAAAAAGAAGAAGTTAAGAAAACAGCTGCTTGTGGGGTATGCGATGTTGCATTTTAAAGCAATGACAGCAACAGAGTTGGAAATGCTTAATTGACAAAAAAATGTTTATTTTGGAAAATATGGAAATAAATCGAAAAGAAAAGAAAAGAAAAAAGGAGACATAAATAAAACAGACTAATTTACATTTAGTTTCTAAAAAGACAGTGATTGCCCAATTTATATGTGTAAAGAGTGTCGAAAATTACAAATGAGTTTTTAGGAGAAAGATAGAGAAAGAACCGATGACAAAATAACATTTTCTCATTCAATTCGTATGAGAGTACCAGGGATGGGATTATATCCTTAAAAAGAACATTGAAAAGTGTGTTATGCAAATATATGAAATAAAATTTAAATAATATTAAATATTTGAGTACTATATGTAAAAGTATAAAAAGTCCAAAAAAGTCCAAAAAATTGAGATATCTTATATTTTTGTTTCCTTTCTCCTAAGAATATAATTTATTGAAAAATCCCGGCATGTGGCTTTTCTAAAAATAAATATTTTTAGACTAAATAACGAATTCCACAAATCCAAGAAAATGATAAAAAAAATTCCTAAAAAAAAACGAGAACCCTATTTTAATTAGTTTAAATATTTTCTGTCAATATTTTGAAATATTTGTCTCGTGAATATGTAAATATTACGAAAAAACTCGCCATTATGATTCAAATGAATCGTTTTCGAATTTGTGTATGCTATGTGATCACTACCCTGCTAATAAGTATTTTTGTCTACAGTCTGATATCGAATAATATTCAGAATGCCAGAGAATTGAAACGTTTGCGGGAGGAAATGGATGAAATCGCAGTAAGTCCCCATAACCATGGAAATTTCGTGACAATAATTAATTTCCTCTAGCATTTAGTTCTCCACAATTCAGTAAGTGGGCATCGGGACACGTCCAATCACCTTTCAGAGTTGGTGGATACGATGATCAAGAAACGTCTCTCCGGCATATGGGAAGATTTATTTAATCTCAAGAAATCGCTGAAAATTAAACAAGATGCCAAGGGGATGGAAAGCCCAGAAGATGTGGAAAATTCAGCCATGGCTGCCATTGTGGAACGTGTAAATTTTGCCTCTGACGAATTGGGCGCCAAAATTTTATCCATTTCAGCAGAACCAATTTGTCCGACAAGTTTTCTCAAATCATGTCTGGGCATGGAGTTTTCATGTAATCCTCCCATAAATATGCTCAGGTCCACAATGAAGCCGGGCAATTGTTTTGGATTTCGCAATACCGGCTCGGCTGAGGTGACAGTGCAGTTGAGTCATGAGGTGGGAGGGAGTTGGGCTATTTTGTGAATTATTGTCTACAGCAGTTCTCTTTAGATTCTCTTAGATCAAATTCTGTTGGAACACATACCCAGGCATCAATCTCCGACGGGAGATACCACATCGGCGCCCAAGGATTTTGAAATAATTGTAAGTTTGGATTTCGATTTTTTACGATTGCTAAAGACAGTTTTTCCTTATGTTCCCGCAGGCAATCTATGGCGATTTGCATGAGTTTTCTTTGGGCAAATATAGGTTCCACAATGACCCGAAGAGGACCAGCCAATATTTTACGGTCCTAACCAGTGATCGTGTGGGAATTTTGAAATTTAGATTTCAAACAAATCATGGCCATCCGAGTTATACGTGTGTTTATAGGTAAGAAAAAATTATTAAAAAAAATCCACATTTGAAAAAAATTCCTTAAAAATCCAGGTTTGGAAAAATTTCGTTAAAAAATACAAAAATCTCTAAAAAAAATCTACGTTTGGAAAAACATATTTAAAAAATCCAAAATTCTCTAAAAAAAATCTAGGTTTTAAAAAAATCTTTAAAAATCCAAGCTTTAAAAAAATCGTTAAGAAATCCAGATTTGAAAAAAATTCTTTAAAAAATCCACGTTAGGAAAAACTTATTTAAAAAATCCAGAATTCTCTAAAAAAAATCTAGGTTTTAAAAAAATATTTTTAAAAATCCAAGCTTTAAAAAAATCCATGTTTGAGAAAAAAAAATCTTTGAAAAAAATTAAAAAAAAATCTTTAAAAAATGCACTTTTGAAAAAAATTATTAAAAAATCCACGTTTGAAAAAAATCTTTAAAAAATCCACGTTTAAAAAAAATCTTTAAAAAATCCATGTTTGAAAAAAATCTAGGTTTTAAAAAAAGTCTTTGAAAATCCAAGCTTTAAAAAAACTTTAAAAAATACACGTTTGAGAAAAATCTTTAAAAATCTAGGTTTAAAAAATCTTTATAAATCCAAGCTTTAAAAAAATCTAGGTTTTAAAAAATCTTTATAAATAGCTTTAAAAAAAATCTAGGATTTAAAAAATCTTTAAAAGTCCAAGCTTTAAAAAATTTATAAAAAATCCAATTTTGAAAAAAAAATCTTTAAAAAATGTTGGTTTTAAAAAATCTTTAAAAGTTTCACCTTTAAAAAATTTTTAAAAAACCCAATTTTAAAAAAAAAAATCTTTAAAAAATCTAGGGTTAAAAAAAATCTTTAAAAATCCAAGCTTTAAATTTTTTTTTAAAAAATCCACGTTTGAAAAAAAATCTTTAAAAAATCCACGTTTGAAAAAAATCTTTAAAAAAATCCACGTTTGAAAAAAAATCTTTAAAAAATCCACGTTTGAAAAAAATCTTTAAAAAAATCCACGTTTGAAAAAAATCTTTAAAAAATCCACGTTTGAAAAAAAAATCTTTAAACAATCCACGTTTGAAAAATCCTTAAGAAATCCACGTTTGAATTTTTTTTTTAAATCCACGTTTGAATTTTTTTTTTAAATCCACGTTTGAATTTTTTTTTTAAATCCACGTTTGAATTTTTTTTTTTTTAAATCCACGTTTGAGAAAAATCTTTAAAAAATCAACGTTTGAAAAAAATCTTTAAAAAATCCACATTTGAAAAAAATATTTAAAAAATCCACATTTGAAAAAAATATTTAAAAAATCGACGTTTGAAAAAAATCTTAAAGATTTTGAAAAAAATCTTTAAAAAATATAGGTTTAAAATAAATCTTTAAAAATCCAATCCAAAGAAAAATCTTTAAAAAATCTAAGTTTTAAAAAAATCTTTAAAAAATCTAAGTTTTAAAAAAATCTTTAAAAATTCCACGTTTGAAAAAAAATCTTTAAAAATTCCACGTTTGAAAAAAAATCTTTAAAATTCCACGTTTGAAAAAAATCTTTAAAAAATTCACATTTGAAAAAAATCTTTGAAAAATCTAGGTTTTAAAAAAAATCTTTAAAACTCCAAGCTTTAAAAAAATCTTTAAAAAATCCATGTTTGAAAAAAATATTTAAAAAATCCACGTTTAAAAAAAATCTTTAAAAAATCTAGGTTTTAAAAAAATCTTTAAAAATCCACGTTTGAAAAAAATCCAGATTTAAAAAAATCTTTAAAAAATCCAAAATTTTCTTAAAAAATTTAAGTTTAAAAAAATCTTTAAAAAGCCTGATTTGAAAAAAAATTCTTTAAAAAATCCATGTTAGAATAAACTTCTTTAAAAACCCCAAGCTTTAAAAAAATTCTTTAAAAAATCCACATTAGGATAAACTTCTTTAAAAAAAACCCAAGCTTTAAAAAAATCTTTTAAAAATCCACTTTTGAAAAAATTCTTTAAAAATCAAAGTTAAAAAAATCCTTAAAAATCCACGATTCTTAAAAAATCCATGTTTATAGCTCGGTAGGTGTTAAAAAAAACTATTAAAATCCAAGTTTATAACTCTGAAGCCAATCGAAAAAAAAATCTTCAAAAAAGTTGTGGGCCATCGAAAAACATTGTTCATAGCTCTGGGGCCTTGAAAAAAAAACAGATCATTTATAGCTCTTGGGGTCTATAAAAATAGCTCTTTAGTGGTGGAAAAAAATATTGTTTCTTTGTTGCTTATTATTACGTTTTTAATCACTTCTAATTATTTTTTCCTCTCGATTGCAGAATTGCTGTCTACGGCAGATTATAAGGTCAACAAATCTATGCAGCTGATAATTTTAGAATGGAAATTATTTTTTGTTTGCTCAAATAATTTATTGTGTGTTTTGTTATTATTTATATATTTGGTGTTGTTTATTTGAAAATATGTATGTTTTGTATTATATTTTACGAAAAAAAAAACAATAAAATATGACTTCCTTGTCTTTCTTCCTTACCCTATTTAAATCGCTGCCACTCTGTGACAATATCTTCTAATATTCTGTACTCCCACAACTTTCACATTTATCTGTCAGTGTGTATTCGGTCTCTTTCATCTATGCATTTATCCCACCGTTCATTCATCAGACATCCGTTAGTTGTAGGCGTGCGTTTTGTTGTCTGTTGTTTACAAATGAGAGAATTGTTGACATTGCTTACGCTTTGGTTTTGTATAACTATCTCTCTCTCCTCGAGAGTGAGAGAGAAAAAAACAAGTATTCTCATATCTTATCTTTTGCGCATTTGTTTGTTGTTGTGAAGCGGAAGCATAAGGCCAAGAATGAATGGCAAACAAAAAAAAAAAAAAAAAAAACAAAAGATAAAACATTCAAATGAGATGACATAGTGACCCAGTAGGAAAAAATAGTGTTAGAAAGTGATATCGCCAGCAATAAGAAAATAATATGGAAGAGACCCCACAAACTATATATATTCTTGATCAGCATAAAATGTAGTCTATTTAACGATATTTGTTTGTCTTTCGGGTAAAACAAAACTTTTTTAAATTTAGCAAAAACAGATAATACTAAATTATTGGGTCCCATTGTAAAATAGCCTGCACCATTATAATTTTTTGGGAAGTTCCAGTAGATTTGAAACCCATTTGAATAGAAAACATATTAAAACAAGTAAGCAAAGGCTACAGTCGAGCGGGGCCGACCGTTGAATACCCTACAACTCTACAATAAACGATACAGTTTATATAGGCGAGATACTCGAAAGAATTGCACAAGATATTGTGACAAATAATAAAAGAAAACCATCAGGTTTCGTTCTCTAATTTTCGAATAATAGCAACTTAAACTAATTTGCTCATTTCCAATTTATTGGTAGATGTTGCACTTAAATGGTCTTCCTAGATCTGGAACCAATATTTCCCAAAGACCTATAATCTTTCAGAAGTGGCAAAAGATTAACATTTATTATTGGTTTTTGACTGAAACGCATCTATATGAGATACAGCCATTTGACTATATTCTGCAACTAAATCAGCGTTAACGAAATAGTCAGAAGTGCGTCTTTCCTGTATTTGTGAATTCTCCAAGAAGTCACTGTAATGGACATTTTCGTATTTTGTCTACAAAAGTTGGCAAACTATTTCACACATTGAATATTTTTGGATGGCCATCCAAAACTGTTTGGCTTTTGCAATGTCCGGTAACCCCCATTCAAATGTGCCTGAGGATCGGGCGATAATTACGACCTGCTGACAATTTGGCAGTTTTTTTGGTCCATTTCAACCCCTAAATATATGTCGATCATCTCCAAAAAGAGTAGGCTTCTATTCTGACCCTCATCTTATCCCCATACAAAATTTCATAACGATCGGGCCATAAATGCGATCTGTATATGATATCCTGATATCCTAGCTACTTTGTTTTGTTATCTGTAGAAATATTACCAAATGTTTAATTCAAAATGAAAATATGCCAAAAATATGACAAAATTGAAAAAATATGAGAAAATTTTACAAAATCAATATTTTCATCTTTAGATAGATATTTTTATGCGATTTTTTTAGACGTATTTTATGTCTTGCCAAGAGGCCATTCTGAATTAATGAGAACTGTCGAAATCAGTTCAGCCGTTCTCGACATATAAGAGATCTTTCAAGCATATCTTCTTTGATAGACATAAATATCGCACATATTATGCTATATATCCGTTTTGTTGGATGTTAACATCAATGTAAAGATCAGGAGTAACCTTGTCATGGCTTTGTGATTTCGCCAGGATTTAAAATATTCGCGGTTTAATGAAAAATTTTGAATTTTTTCAACACAAAAGATATGGTCTATTTTACCCGCTAAATATTATCCGATGACCACCTAAATTGGTAGGCTTCTTCCCCGCCCTAAACTCTAGCTACATGCGAAATTCCGCGTCGATTGATCTATAATTGCGACCTGTATAGCTACTGCAAAATCCGACATTTTTTCAGTATTTGGTCCATTTCAACCCCTAAATATTTGGCGATCATCTCTAAAAGAAATAGGGTTCTATTCTGACCCTATCCCCACCTCCATTCTAAATTTCGTGAAGATCGCGCCATAATTGCGACCTGTAGAGTGATTACAAATTAACATGGACAGACGGACAGACGGACGGACGGACATACATAGCTAGATCGACTCAGCTCGGCGAGCTAGGAAGATCCATATATACTTTCCTATGTGAGAAATCAATATTTCGAGGTGTTACATAATTTTTGGCCCAATCAAACTTATAATACCCCCAACACATAGTGTTGTAGGGTATAAAAAGTATCACCCAGTTTTGCCGACAAATGTATACTTTCAGACAATGTTCGATTATTTAAATATATTTTAAATTCTGTTATAATTTTTCAAATTGTTGACCTTCTATGGAGTAGGTTCTGAAGGATTGGGCCAATATTGTGCATTTCGTTTCGAACCTAAATAAATGTGACCTATATAGATATATTCCACCTTCACAGGAGATCTTGTGTTAGCAAAAATGTTTGTATGTGTGAAATTTGAAGAGACTTGGAAGCATATTCCGCTTTCATAGACCGTTTTGTTTTTCAAAATCTTGAAAACTATGTGGGTCAGGTACCAGAAGAAATGGTCCGATCTCTACCATCTTTATAACAGATATTGTGCTGATAGAAATATTGAGATGTACAAAGTCTGACTGGAATCGGATGTTAATTTCGCGTTTTATGAGCGTCATCGATATTCAAAATTTCGACCCGTTGTGGGAAAGGTACCAGAAGGAGCGCACCGATATATCCCACCTTTAAAGAAGGTTTTGTGTTGGTAGAAATAATGTCATGTGTAAAATATGAAGAGAATCGGATGCTCATTTCAAATTTTATGCTCGCGAGGTACCAGAAGAAATTGTCCGACCTCTACCATTTATATAGCAGACCTTGTATTAATACGAAAATTGAGATGTGGAAAGTTTGAAAGAAATCGAATATTCATATCGCTTTTTATGAGTTTCATGGATATTAAAAAAAAAATTTACAAATTGTGGGGGAGGTACCAGAAGGAATAGTCCGACCTCTATCATATTTATAACAGATCTTGTGTTAATGGAAATATTTGGATGTACCAAGTCTGAAAGGAATCGGATGTTAATTTCGTTAATTTTATGAGCTTCATGAATATTCAAAATTGTGACCCTTTGTGGGGGAGGTACCAGAAGGAGTGAACCGATATATCCCATCTTCACACCAGATCGTGGGTTAATAAAAATATTGTGATGTGTGAATTTTGAAGACAATCGGACTCCTGCTTCACATTTTATAGGAGCTATAATTATTTAAAATGTTGACTCTTTGTGGGGGAGCTACTTTATGGAGTGGATCGATATTGTCCATTTTCGCACCTGACCTAGAAGTGATGCAAATATTAGGATTTGCAAAGTTGGAACAAAAACGGCTTAGCCTTTCTCTTTCTGTGCAGTAAAATCTTTTTTTTTTTTTTTTTGAAAAGTTCGACTTTTTGTATGGGACGTACCAGAAGGTGTGGACCGATATTGTCCATCTCCCAACTCGTTCTAAGTTTGATAATAATATTAGGATGTATCAAGTTTGGACCATATCGGATACTCACTTCGAGAGTCGTGCGCACCAGCCAGCCAAATAGAAAGACTGACGGACGGACATCGTATATAAGGAGGCTATATCAAAACATGGACCTGCAGATACAAATTTCTGTTATAGACTGAAGTATCCATTACGAACTTCAAATACAAAATTTCAAACAATTCCGGTGAATAATGTCCCTAAAATCGTCAAAATACCGAATATACGGTGGTATCGTAATATGGGGGCTGTGCCAAAACAGAGATTGTTATGATATGCATTTTTTCTAATAATTTTTAAAAATTTGAATAAATTTTCATTCAGGAATTCAGAATTCCAAAATTGGTTTGACAGTTCATTGTCCAAGCAGTTGCGTCGATTCGACTATCTGTATTCTTCTACCATGGTAGTATGCTTTTCTTGCTAGTTTTTTATGTCTATTTATTATTTCAATAGCGCTGGTTCAAGAAATTATTCCATATTCCCTTCTTGTCGAATTGTTTTACTTAGTGGAATACTATATATAAATAAGAACGATTTCCAATACCAAGCATCGTTGGAATGTAACATTTTTATCTCTGCCAAATTTCATTTATTTTTATTGAAAATTGTAACCTCTATCTTCATTTCAACAGATAATTTAATAATTATAAACTCCCATCCCTAGCATACACAGTGTACTACCCTTTTCTTGCTATACTATACTTTTCTTCTTATTTTTAATGCCTATTTATTATTCCAATTGCCTCAGACCAGCCAAGGAATTATTTCATATATTCCTGCTTTCCTTCTTGCTATTTTTTTATTTCCTTATAACAAACGTCAACATTTCCTACTGGGTGTCACAACACACCAACAACATTAACACACTCTCCGCTCTCTCATCAAAACAACAATGCATACGCTCACGGTCGTCTTGTTTGAGCCACGACGAATGATGAGCACAGTTATATTTTTCTCTCGGTGTTGTCAAGTACGGAAAAGAATTTTAGCGGTGAAAATTTCTTTTGCTTTAAAACATCAAACTAATGATATTGCACAAATAAAAAATACACAAAAAAAATATGCATCTGAGTGAAAGAAGAAAAGCCAAATAAGAAATAGCAAAGATAATGATGATGGGCAATTTGTTAAAGAAATATTAACAAAAAAAAAAAAAAAAAAAAAAGATAAAAAAAATCAAAATAAAGCAAAACAAAGCGAAGTGAGTTAGGATTTGCCGTCTTCATCAGAAGAAGCATATAATCATATTGTTATTAACAAATCAAATCAACAAAGTAATAATAGGGAGAAATAGAAGAAGAAAACAAAAAAAAATAAAAAGAAAGTGAAATAAAAACGTAGCTGAGTCTTTCTTTTCAAGAAGCATTAGAGCTAACAAGAAGTAAAAGAAAAGAAGAAGAAGAAAAGAAACACCAAACATACAAGCAAGTCCCAACCACAACAACAATACATAACTATACAAGAAGTTTACAAGTTAGCCCAACAAACGTCCCTTCCTTGCGTGCGTGCGTGAGAATCTCCTCCGAAGACAACCAGCCGTGTGGTGTCTGTCCTTCTGAATGTGTGCCTAAGTGTCCGGTGCGTTCTTTGGCTGTATCGTAAGTGTGTGTGTGTGTTTGCTGTGCTGTGGTGCCTTGCCCCAGTGCCTCAGTGTCTGCCGCATAAAAACCAACCAACCATTGCCATCACCACAAGGAAAAAAGGATACAATTTTATTGATTATTTTGTTCCAAAGGAATTCGAACTCGGTGGAAATTGGATTTAATTTGTAATGGATTTCGTGTAGAAAAGGCAGTGCAGCGTGGAAAAATCACAATTGAATTTAATTTTCGTTCTTCTTCTTCTTCGAGGACGCAGAAAGTAAAGTTGTAACAAGTGTCTTGTTTCGTTTACATTCCATCGTTTCCTACCCCCCAATATTTTTGTTGCTGTACTGTGAAGACATTCCTGGGGCAAGATGGTGCAAAAATTCCAATCTCCCGTCAGGGTATATAAATATCCCTTCGAGCTGGTTATGATGGTAAGTTTTGAAATTAATTTAATTTATTTGTAATAATATATCTTAAGAATTCTAGGTAAGAATAAGGCAAAAGATAGTTGCTTGGTAGCCTACAAGCCCCGGAACTTGTTGGGAAATTTATTGATAGCAAATTGATATTCAAGAATACCAAATGACGTGCAAAAGCTTGTGGTTCCAATAGTTAATGTGGATTGTTTACAAAGTCTAATGTAGTTCATTTATTGGCAAGGTGCATTGGAGCTATATATTTTATTTTTTCAAGGTCCCTAAAAAGGGCATAAAACAAGGATATTTGAAAATATTTTTTGAAAATCTATCAGAGCAAAAATTCCCAAATTTGGAGGTGCATTAGAACTATAGAAATCTTGATGTCTTGAAGATCCCTTTTAAACTAGTTAACCTAAGTATTTATAGTGATTTATTGGAGTTCTGTAAGAACTTTAAACGCGGATTTATAAAGCCTCATCTTTGGCGGGACCCATTGGAGCTATAAACGTTATAGTTTACTTTTAGGTAAATTTTTGGAAGATGAGGGTAAGTTTGAATTTTAAAGAAGTTACAATTAATTTGTAATAATATATCTTAAGTATTCTAGGCAAGGATAATTGAAAACTAGGAAAGGCCTATGTGAGACTTTGGTAATAATTTACTTGTTATTTGATATTCAAATACCCATTAGCAGATGAGGTGCTGACATGTGGTCTAAATAGTTAACTCGGATATTTATACCCTACACCACATAGTGTCAAGGGTATTATGTCTTTGTGCATTTGTTTGTAACATTGAGAAGGAAGCGAGATAGACCCATAGTTACTTTTGAGGATTTTCATAGAATCACTTTCTGAGTCGATTTATGCCTGTCTGTCCATCTGTACGCCCGTCCGTCCGTCTGTCCATGTATTCTTTTGAACAAAATGCAAGTCGCATTTATTAACCGATTGAGATGAAATTTTCCAAACAATATTTGTTTGGCCCAAGGACGAACCTTATTGAAATTGGTGATAATCGGATCAGATTTATATATAGCTCCCATATATACCTTCAACCGATTTCGCGTTAATAATGCGCCAGATGGCCAATATTTTTCAAAAAGCCCTGAATTTTGGTACATCCCAAGGAATTCAGTCTAGAAGCAAGTACATCAAATTTGTAGAAAATCGGTTCAGATATAGCTATAGCTCCCATATAAATGTTTCATCAGATTTGCGGTTTTAAGTCCCTCACATTCGTAATATGCATTCCACAAGAATGATATTTGGTACCGGACATCAGATACTGCTCCAAAATACCTCTGTCAAATTTTATCGAAATCGGTTCAGATTAGGATATAGCTCCCATATATGTCTTTATGCGATATCAGGTTTATTGTTCAACAAATGGCTAATATCAACCCAAATGGACTGAATTTTGGCAATTACGGCTGAACTCATCCTAGAAACCAGTATTTCAAATATGTTGTAAATCGGTTCAAATATAGCTATAGCTCCCACATATATGTTTCATCAGATTTAGTCTTTAAGTCCCTTACATGCGTAATATGCATTCCACAAGGATGAAATTTGGTACCGGACATCAGATACGGCTCATAAATAAGTGCCTAACATTTTATCAAGATCGGTGCAGATTTGGATATAGCTCCCATATATATCTTCAACCGATTTCGGGTTAATTGTGCACCAAATGGCCAATATCTTTCAAAAAGTTCTGAATTTTGGCACATCCCACCGAATTCAGTATAGAAGCAAGTACATCATATTTGGTGAAAATCGTTTCAGATATAGCTATAGCTCTCATATATATGTTTCACCCGATTTGGGTTTTTAAGTGCCTCACATGCGTAATATGCACTCCACAATAATGGTATTTGGTACCAGATATCAAATAGAGTTCTGAAATGAGTATATCAAATTTTGTCAAGATCGGTTCAGATTCGGATATAGCTCCCATATATATGATCAGCCGATTTTGGGTTAATTGTGCACCAAATGGCCAATATAAGTCCAAATGACCCGAATTTTTGCATATCCGGCCGAATTCAGTATAGAAGCAAGTACATCAAATTTGAAATCGGTTCAGATATAGCTATAGCTCCCATATATATGTTTCATCCGATTTGGGTTTTTAAGTGCCTCACATGCGTAATATGAATTCGACAACTGTAATATTTGGTACCAGATATCAGATACAGTTCTGAAATGAGTGTATCAAATTTTGTCAAGATCGGTTCAGTTTTGGATATAGCTCCCATATATATCTTCAACCGATTTCGGGTTAATTGTGCACCAAATGGCCAATATCTTTCAAAAAGCCCTGAATTTTGGTACATCCGACCGAATTCGATCTAGATTCAAGTACATCGAATTTGGAGAAATTCGGTTCAGATATAGCTATAGCTCAAATATACATGTTTCATCCGATTTTCGTAATAGGCATTCGAAAACAATGATATTTGGTACCAGATATCTTATAGAGCTCGGAAATACCGTTGCCAAATTTTTTCGAGATCGGCTAAGTTTTGGATATAGCTCCGATATATATACCTTAATCCGATTTCAGGTTTATTGTGCAAATAATGACCCAATTTCGGGACGTACGTTTTCATTTCGTGGAACTAGTCTCCGATATATTTTTTATACCCCCCGCCATAGCATGGAGGGTATTTTAAGTTTGTCATTCCGTTTGTAACACTTCGAAATATACTTTTTAGACCCCACACAGTATATATATTCTTGATCAGCATAAAATTCTATGTCGATTTAGCGATGCCCGTCCCTCTGTGGAAATCACTCTAGCTTCCGAACAATGTTAAGTAGATTGAAAAATTTTACTAAAATGTATATTATGTCTGCAGGACTTTTGGTAATGAAAATGGGCCATGTAGGACCAAGTTTTAATAGAGCCCCCATATAATGGTACCTCCCTATTTTCGGTATTTTCATGATTTTAGCGACATTATTCACCGGAATTGTTTCAAATTTGGTATTTGAAGTTCATAACAGGTACCACAGCCTGTGACAGAAAATTGTCAGTGCAGGACCACGTCTTCACATAGCCCCCATATAAAATGACCTCCCCATATTCGGTATTTTGATGATTTTAACGACATATTTCACCGCAATTGTTTCAAATTTCGTATTTAAATTTCGTAATAGGTACTACAGCCTAAGACAGAAAATTGTCTGTGCAGGTCCACGTATTCACATAGCCCCCATATATCAGTACCTCCCTACTTTCGGTATTTTGACGATTTCAGATACAATATTCATCGAAATTGTTTGTAATTTCGTATTTGAAGTTCGTAATGGATACTACAGCCTATATCATCAAATTTCGTATGCAGGCCCAGGTCTTCATATAGCCTCCATATACCAGTACCTTCCTATATTCGGTATTTTGGTGATTTTAACGACATAATTCACCGGAATTGTTTTAAATTTGGCATTTGAAGTTCGAAATGGATACTACAGCCTATGACAAAAAATTGTCTATGCAGGTCCAGGTCTTTGTATGGCTCCCACATAACGGTACCTCTCCATATTCGGTATTTTGATGATTTTAGCATCATTGTTTACCGGAATTGTGTCAAATTTGGCATTTGAAGTTCATAACTGGTACTACAGCCTGTGACAGAAAATTGTATATGCTGGCCCAGGTCTTCGTATAGCCTCCAAATAATGGTACTTCCCAATATTCGGTTTTTTAATGATTTTAGCGACATTATTCACCAGAATTGTTTGAAATTTCGTATTTGAAGTTCATAACAGGTACCACAGCCTATGATAGAAAATTGTCTGTGCAGGTCCACGTCTTCACATAGACTCCATATATCAGCACCTACCTATTTTCGGTATTTCGATAATTTTAAATACATTATTCACCGGAATTGTTTCAAATTTGGTATTTGAAGTTCGTAATGGATACTACAGCCTATGACAGAAAATCATCAGTGCAGGTCCACGTCTTCGTATAGCCCCCATATAACAGTACCTCCCGATATTCGGTATTTTGATAATTTTAGCGACATTATTCACCGGAATTGTTTCAAATTTCGTATTTAAAGTTCCAAATATGTACTACAGCCTGTGATGGAAAATTGTTTATGCTGGTCCATGTCTTCGTATAGCTCCGATATAACGATACCTCCCTACTCCCTATTTCAACATTTTCCTAATTTCAAATTTTTCTAATTCCAAAATCAGATAATATTTTGCTACACCCTCCAAAGTAGTCCCAGCTTCAGCTTTTTTTCCTAAAACTGTTTTTTAATGTCATTCAAAATGTTATTGTTTTATTGACATTTTATTTATTTTAATGCCAACGTTAATGTTGCTATACTCCACATCGGTCTCATAAACTGGTTTTTATTGTTAAAAAAAAAAAACGAAAACGAAACAAAAATTTGTTTTAAAACGCTGCTCCCAACTTTTTTTGCATTGTCACCATCACCACTGCAGTTGAATGTCATATCGTTGCGATGGCTGATCATTAAAAAACCAAAACAACAACAACAACAATAAATTTCGTGTAACAAAAATTGGGTTTTGAAATAAATTTAATAGAAAATAAAAAAAACAACTTTACTCCAAAGAGTTGTGGGGAAGAGCCTAATGGAGAAGGGGAGGGCGTTAAATGGAGGGCAACAATAGTTTGGTAGCTACTCGCTGTGGGCTTAAGTGATTTCTTTAACTGCATAGCATGGCGGAAGAATTTTGTAATGTTGTCATGCGAAGCATTTACAACAATCGCTGGCTGACTGACTGACTAACCGTCGAATGGAAGGGCACCACTGCAGGCAGAAAATCATTGAATATGACAACAACAAAACAAGCCAACAATTATTTCAACATTTGTTTGGTTGCTTTGCTGGTAACTTGAGTAGAATCAAATTTTTCAAGGAGAAGTTTGGGTTTTGCTTTTCAATACTCTTTTACAACAAGAAAACCAAAACCGCTAATGTTTAGGTCCACAGACGACTACTTTTCAATTTAGCCTTAATATTT